GAGAGAGAGAGAGAGAAAAGGCGGCGTTTTTAAAAAAATCGAAATATCCAAGACATTTTTATCGGACGTCCGATCGAAAAGGGAAAAATGCTCGGGTCGGTTTTCCACAGTTTTCCTCTCCCCCGTTCCTTGTCCATCGCCCCTCCAATTATCGGTTTCGCGTCCAATCCAGAGATTTTCCAACGTTCCAAGCGACATACCTGTCGAAAAAGATATGAAATTCCCGCGTTCTCGTCTATCGTTTCTCCCCTTCGTAATTATCGAGAGAGGGGAAGGGAGATCCTTCTCCCCTCCGCGTGTTGGGAATCGTGGAATTGATTTTTAATCGCAGCGGCGAATTAAAACTTGAAACGTCAAAGGCACGATGACACGCTTCGATTGTCCTTCCTCCCTGTTCCCACGACAGAGGAATTCTCGTAGGCATCGCGAAAACGGCTTACAATTCAATTACATCGAGCTACGCTACGCGTCGCTACGTATTGCCTTAATGCTTTCTCGCTTTCTCGATAATTAAATTAACCAACTAATAAAAGGAAGACGTGCCCGAGACTTGGCGAGAATCGTGATAGCTTCCCCCCCTCTCCGCCAATCGACCTTCCCAAACTTTCCCAATAAATTTCCTAATAAATTTTTAATAACTCGATTGTCTTAGAGGGGCGCGGGGGGGAGGGGGGAGGGGAGGGGGGGATTGTCGGGCAAATTCTTCTGGCGCGAGTTCTGGTTAACGGTATGAATTTATGGATGACGATTAATTCGTCGCATCTTTCAGAAATTAGGATTCATCGGAGAGGATCGATGGAAGAAATTTGACGGGGAATGGGAATGGACGCAAAACGAGGTAGAACTCGTATCGCGATGCGACGAGTTACGAGACGAATACGTTAGACGCTCGTGTCGATCGATCAATCGTTTATCAAGGGAGAAGAACGAAAAGTGTCTTACGTCTCGCGTTTTTGATCGAGGAACGAAATTCCACATTCGCAAGTTGGTCGTGACACGGAGAAAATATGAAGGTGGGCAGGTAGGAATGATGATGGATTTCACGCGTGCGCGCGTGCAACGCACGCAAGAAGTTTTAATTAATTGGAAAGTGTTGAACGATTGATGTTTATCCAAGTATTAAATAATTAATTCCAGCTACGGTGCAGCATTTATAACACTGGTGTTTCGGGAGAAAATTTCCATCGATATTACAATATTGCAAATATAAAGATTGATTTTAAATATTTAAATTCAGTGATTGGTGTAATTACAGGCAAAATAATACAATGTGTTTTTTTGGGGAGGGGAGGGGGGAATAACGATCGTTCTTAATCATTTTTCGATCTTTCAATTTTTTTTTTTTTTTTTTCCATTCCAGAGAAATTACCGTGCAAAAATTCTCGAAATTTTTTTTCCACGATTTTTTCCTTTGAACGCATGTAATACCGAAATGTAATTAATAACGGAACAAAATTGATCTCGAAATCCGTTTATTTAAAGTTCTGTCCGCACTCGTGCTCGCCAATTCAAAATTGTATTGCCCTTATTGTTTTTAAATTCTATTTAGAAATTCGAAATGGCGTTGATCCCTTTTCACACGCGTCAAACCGAACGTTATATTCGCTAAAAAAATTGTTTATTTTATGGATCCTTCAAAATGGTCCGAAGACTTTGGCTCACGAAGAATCTTCTCTCTGAAAGAAAAAAAAAAAAAAAAGAAAAAGCTCTAGCTTCATTCGAATATAAATCGTTTTCGATGAAACGTCTTCTCGTGACGTGGAATAAATTATCGAATATCTTCCGTTGTTGTTTCGAAATTTCTTTTTCACTCTACTTAAAAATATAATACTAAAAAAACAAGCAGAAGCGGTTGTCACGTGTCTGTTTGCTTTTCATTTTTCGATCGAAAGAAAATACGATTTCTCGGATGAGGATTCTCCGCCGAGAAAAAAACAGGAATTTATCCATATAGAGACTCGCTTTTCCCTTTCAATTTTCAAACCCCTGGATAAAAAAGAAAAAAACTATACAGAAACTTTATAGAAAATTATTATATCCGTTTCAACGGATCTCGTCTGTAAAACGGATGTTAATCGTCGCAGGAACGCAACTAGAAAAATTCCTCGAGCAATCTTCCGCCACCATTTAACTTTTCCCTCGATCGTCCCACCACTTTGCCGGCCAATTTTAACCTGTATTCGTTCCGCGATACCTTCCAATTAACGCATCCACCCGTGAATTCAGATGAATTTAAAGGAACGGGAGAAACGTCTGGAACAATGTATGCAAATTGTCATCGGGTTTGCGAGCGGTACTCCCGTCGAACTTCCGTCTTAATAAACCGTCTGCTGTATAATGATTCGTCTCGCGAGCAACATAATAACGAGATTTATGCCGGCGAAATATACGGAGGTAATAACAGTGAGAAGAGAGAAGAGAGGGTGGGTGAAGAAAAAAAAAAATGGCTGACATGTTTCTCAACTCGACTCGAGGAATTAAGATGCCTCCGCTCCGTATTTTCACGTTTTGTTCCCTGCTCGCGCGATTTCCCTTCCCCTTCTTCGAGGCAGAGACAAGAGGCTAATCAGATCCTCCACGCTGTTTCCTCCACGCCCACGAGAAAAATATATTTTCCTCCCACGGATCTATCTTTTCAATCTCTCCTCCGGGGAATTTTATCTAGGGGATAAAGGAGAAGAAAAAAAAAAGAGGTACGATCCATCCACAAAAGATTTCGTTTGTTTAATCGAGGGAAGGAACGATGTCGGCGCGAATAATAACGTTGGGGCCTTGTCAAACTCGATCATCCAGAATGTAATCCCGTTAGCTCGTATTCATCGAGGTGTCGAGTGAATTCGACACTATTCAAGCTCGAGCAAAGCCTGACAATTCCGCGTTAATCGATTGCGTTTAATCCGCGAATAACTTGGTATAATCTCGGCCAACCTTCTCGACAAGAAGACGGAATCCTTGGCGAAACTTTGATGATACCTTCGACCTCCCGGCACGCGATCGGATTGGCTCGAAAAGGAAGCACGAGTTGCGAGGCTTTTACTCGGCCGCCCACTGTGCTTGCAAATTGAATGTATCCATTCAATTCCCCACGATCGGCCATTTAAATTGTTATACAATGCTGTAATCCATTGTTGCCAGCCGAACCCGAGATATTAAAAAATAATCCGAGATTCGTTTCGGATAAAACGGCCATTCGAGTTTTATCGCCGCCTCGATAATCGGTTTCACGCGAATAAAACGCCATCCCGAACACGCGCGAGCGATCGAAACAATCGGTTCATCCGTGACACGGATAACTCTATTGCATCTACCAATTATCAAATTATAACCGTCGGGGAAAGTTCTATCGTAGCGGGAATGGTTTATATTAATTAATTTCGGGAAAGTGAAATTAATCCCTCTTTGTTTCGGAGTGAATGAAACTCATCTCATCTGTTATACGCGTTACAAACGAGCTAGGCAACGTCCGTAGAACGTCTTATTCCAAACTGGAAGCAACGAAAATCTTAATTTTCACCATCTCTCGAATTTCGTCGAGCGGCGAATTTTTCCCGCCAAACTTTCGCGAATCCTAATTAATAAAAGTCTCGATGATTAAAGGGAAAGCAACTTCTCGAAATCCTTTCGGTATTATATTCCGTAAATCTGATTACACGAGCGACAATGAACGAGTTAATTAGGCAAGAGAAAAAGAGAAATCGACGCGGAGACGCGTAAACGCACTCGAACGAAAAGGGAGTTATCGATACACCGTTGAAACAAAGAGGGAGTGAAAAAACGGGGCTGCGACGCGTAGAAAGAAAAGAAAAGAAAAAAGAGAAGAAAAAATCAGCGGGAATACCGCGTCTGCGTTTAATTAAGCGATCTACTCACGGCGAAGATACTCGCGAAGTGGTAACGAAGCCGTGGTATATTTAAAAAGGAGGAGGGTACAATCGGAGAAAAAGCGTTCTGAATACGCCGCGGCGCGAGGATCCTGGGCCAGGGTGGAGTGCCTCCTTGAATCGGCGACGCGCGAGACGCGCTTCAAGAAGCAATTTTCGAATCTCTAGAGCGACATCCTTGCACACCCACTTCAATGCGTGGTCCATAATTAAGGCAGCGAGATAACGAAGTTACCATCAAGAAGCGACACGTCGCCGACCCGCGTCATCGTATCCACTTTTATCGTTACTGTGGAATAGGGACGTGTCTGCGTTCTCTAAACTCCTTGCTCGAATTCGGGGAGAGGGTGAAAGGAACTTTCGATTCCTTTTCCTACTCGGATCAAATATTTCGTGGCGTACGTTCGTCGAGAAGAAGAAAATGTTTCGCTCGCTCGATTTATTGATTATTAAACGCTACAAGGTGGTGGAACGATGCTATTTGACTTCCTCGCTGGGCCAATGCCACTCGGCATAATTGGTGCAACCGAATTCGTTAACCTCCTGCTTCTCCATTATGATCTCCATTATGTACGGCTGCAGATACCGGTAACTCATATCCTGCTCGTACGTGATCCATTTTTCCCTGGGCAGATTCATTTTCAAAAAGTCCAATTGCGCCGCCCGTATGCTCCTGGAAATTGATCCGTGATCGAGGATTCACGCGTACAGTTTCGCGAATACTCGGTCGGGGGAGGAATGTAATTGGATGACACAAGACGGAAATACCTAAAATTTCTCGCGTCGAGCACTTCTTTCGGCAATCGACGAAGCGCCTCTTTCACCACGGGGCTGTCGTGATATATCACGTCGTCGCTGTACAATCCGTATTTGTTGTATCCGGCCAAATTAAACACGAGCTTCGAGAACATGGACGTCCAACTGTTTTTCCTTTGCGGCTTTCTTGGATGCTGGACCACAGGGGTGGTCTTAGCCAGTATACGAAAACGCGACATCGCCGATCGACGAGATTTTAACCAAAACCATCGAAATTCGAAAGACGATCGAATCGATTATTATCGATGAGATCTCGTTTCCCCTCCGTTTGAAGTGAAGTTTCGCGATTACAACGAGTCTTTTTTTCTTTTCATTGATCTACGGCCAACTTTGTCTCGTTCAACGCGTAATAAAGATTTCGCGAAGAGGAGGAACTGGCCTTGTTTAAAACGAGCAATCTCTCGAATTCGGAGAGACGAGAAGAAGTCGTGAAAAGTTTCGCATACCATTACATAGGGACAGTGAAAACGCGTCGTTTTAAACGCTTCGCCTTGTCTCTTCTTCCACCCGCGCCTTCCTCGCTCGGCAACCGAGTTCTAATATCTAGGAAATAGCGAGTTACGGTGTAACAAAGTCGCGTCGGAGAGAGGAGGCGTTAAAGGCTCGTGTCGTTCCCGCGATCCACTTTTGTCAACTTTTCACGCGATTACCTCGCGGCAGTTTCCTCCGTTTAATATTCAGCTTCCGATATAATCCGTCTATTACGCCCTACGCTCTTTCAATTTTTTTCCTAAAAATTGAATTTCCCCTGCTCGAGGAAGGGAAAAATGCTCGTCGCACTCGCTAACGATTCTTCGATCTTTCTCTTAGAAATATAGAAAGGATTTAAAAAACGATCTTTTTAAAACGATCCTCCTCCGTTGCGATATTTCGCCTAAAAAAAAAGGAGGAGGGGGGGAGGGCGCGCGTAAACTGTCCATACAAAACGCGAGAATTCTCGTTTGTCTGGGAGAGAGAATTCCGGGTTGTCAGGTTTCCGGTCCAACATCGGCGATATCTCACATCCCTCCGTCCCCCCAAACTTGAGCCACGGCGCGCAAAGTGTTGAACATTAAAATAGGGTGGCGCAAAAAGCGAACGGTCGGGAAATTATTCTTGCAGTTTTCCATGGGATCCGGAGGAGGAAACGTTGGATCGGGCGATTTATGCGCCGAGGATCCGACAAGTCGCGCGGGGCGTACACACGCGCGCATATGTTTCCTCGCTGAAAGATCGGCGCGAACATGGCACGAGGAGGAGGAGGAGGAGGCATTACACGGAGGAGGAACAGGATTTATGTGCGAATGGCTCGGTTGGCATCGACTGACCACCCCTTTTTCTCGTTCGCCAGCTTCCGTTCGCCATCCTCCTGCTCGCTGATCGCGCCGTTTTCCGCGCGAGCAATCTTTCGCTTATCTCCTCAACGCGCCTTCCATTTTTCCTTCGCCCGTCCGCAATTCGTACACGTCAGCGCGGGAACACGCGTGCAATTTCGTTTTCAGAAACGCGTCCGAATCGCTGGGGACGCGGAAGAGGATTCATCCGTCATTCGCGTGCGACGCGAATATCGTGGGAACGAATTTCGTTAACCGCACGGAACCGTGAGAGAAACATGGCCGCGATTAAGGGTCGCGGATGGGATCTTGCGATTCGTCGTGGAACGAAAAAGAAAACTTCGACACGATCGAATGATGTTCTAAGGAAAACGAGAAATGCGCAAATCTCACGATCGAGATCACATCATTTGGGCAACATTCCCAGGATCGATAAAAATTTACAACGAAACGAACAATTTACGCATTTCTCGAAGAGCGCGAGTTATATTTTTCGATTATATATTTCAGCTAGAAGGAAACGGAATATTCTCTTCGATACAAAACAATTTAATACAATAACAATGTTTTTTCTTTCTCGATTCGAGGAAAGTTGAGATTATTCGAGAAAGATCGTTCCCTCGAGGAGATACCGTGATCTACGAATATCTCATTTTTCATCGGATTGATTCGTTGTTGTCACGGCCCGAGCCTTCGAAGGATAAAACACGTTTCTATAGAAAATAATCCGCACGTAAAAGTGAATACGAAGTAAAGACGAAGGAAAACGGAGGATTCTCGAATTTTCCATCGAAATTTCTCCTCTGGCATCGATATCGAGAGGAAAAAAAAAAAGAAAAAAAAAACGTAAGCTCAATTTCAAACGATTAAACGAATTAAGCGAGGTCAAGTATTAATCGGCTTGTTGTTAATCGGTTCCGTTTAATTCGATCGTTTCGCTCGAGGATATCTCGCACGTTAATTCGATTATTCAAAGTAACCGAATGAATCGATAATCACGATATTAATACTAAACCGATTTACTCATCAAATATGCATTGTCCAACGGAACGTGATTAATTAAGGAATTGCGTTTGGCGATCGTTACCTTAAATTTTGCTGGGGTTACGGCTAATTCGATATCCATTCACGCGCGAATCATTATCTCTCTGCTCATTAATCCTGATACACGTGGACGAGAGCGGATTTACGGCGCAACACCTGTTACGTTCGAAATGCTACGCCTAAAGTTTATATTACTCTTCGTTTCGCGATGAAGATGAGGAAAAAATTTCTCTCCAAAGATGAACGGCCAGCTCTCTCTTCCTCCTTTGTTTGTCCTTTCCTGGCGAAAACCTTCCTCCTTCGAGCTCCTCCTCGACTTATTTCCTCTCTCTCTTGATAACACCACCATCACTCTGACAATCCTTCTCGATTTCTATCTCCAATGTCTTGTCCTCCACGTTCGCGTACGTGTTCGAAGGGAAGTAAACTCGATTATAACCATCGTTTTCGTATTTATTTTTCAATCGTGTGAGATACAATTCCCGAGGTAAGCAGCAAAGGCGATAAAGCGTCTTCGATTTGTTTTCGAAACATTCGTTTTTTTTTTTTTTTCCGATTCGAAATTTTATTGATTCTCGATTTCGGGTTTTCGTTTCGGTTTGAACATGTCGACCAAAAGACTGATAATCTTGACGAGACCAGGGTAACCGGGATAGGTATTCATCATGAAGGATCCATTTTTAAATGGCATCAAGGAGTTCGAAAATTTCAACGAGGAGGAAGAACCGCGTCGATTATCACCGAGTCGATTCTTCTCCTCCCGTCCTTGTTCTTCGCCTTGGAAAGTTTCATCGGTTTGTCGGTCCCGCGAGCGTTGTCGATCATCTCGGCTGGAAAACAAAAGAAAAAAGTTGAACGCACGCGGATCGAGATTAAGTTTGCCGTTCAGATTGAAAGCTTGCCTGGGGGATCCGGATTCGCGAATGCCTCGCTGCTTTCTCTTCACTCGCCCATCTTCGATTCAATTTTCGCGAAGGAAAGTTGCCCGATTCCGGCATTTTCCGCCAACAAAGTCAAAGGAAACTTGTCGTCGTTGGACGTCGTGTTTTTATTCTTCGTTCCTCGACTCTTCTGACTCTTCGACACGATTATTTTTTTTTTTTCCGTTAATTTCTCGGCAAAGTTTAAACGAACTCTTTTCTACCGTCTATCTAGGGCTCGTTACGGCGCCCTTCTCGCGAGCGGAAATTTCTTCCAAATGCAACGAAACGAAAGAATAATCAAGGTAATTGGACCACATTGTCGCAGCAACCCACCTGTCACAAGTTTTTCCAAAGAAGAAATGGCGCAACTTTGTTAAATGCCTGGTTGGAGGGCACAGATCCCCCTTCTCCCCGTGCGATTGCTCGACCCGCGAATTTTCTAGATTCGGGTATTCAGAATCTTCATCTTGAATCGATTGTTCCTTGCACTCGGTGCTCGGCAGCAAGCGAGAGGAGAGCGCGAAGTAGAAGAGAAATATCGAGAGTATCCTCATTTTTTTTTAATACGAACCGTTGATTCGAATTATTCGATTCGCCGTTTCCTACAAAACCAACCGGCTTTTATAGGAGAATTATTTGACAAACGGTCGAGAATTTATCGCGTAGATACGATTTACACGCACTTTTAAAGTCCAAATCTCGCCAATATTCCGGAACAATTGCTGGCATTTTAGATCGAATCGAGAAGTCTGTCCGGCAAATTGACTGGCGTCTCGAGGACGTTCGTATCGAGGACTTTCCCTCCTAGAAAGAAATGTTTTCTTCGAAGAAGAAAAAAAGTATCGCCAAGTTTTCTTACGAAAAGCAGGATCTTTTGGAAAAATCGGCTGTGCTACTTCAAGGCAGAGGCGCGTATCGACGGATATCGAGGGATGTGCAAGTTTGGCAAAGGCACAAACTTTCAACTTCCAACTATCTTCCAACTTTTCTTCCTCTTTTCCCTCGTACACTCGCTTTCGACGTTTCGTAACGCGCTGTATCGATGGCAGAGGCGTTGATTTCCTTCCACGGAGATTAAAATCATTCGGGGAAGAAGAAGAGAAGGGGGAAAAAATATCTCTCTTTCAATCAACGTCTCCTTGTTATCCCTCGTGTTGAAAGAGTTTCTCCTTCATTCATCGTGTAAAGTTTCCAGGATCAGCCTCGTTCAAAACCTCGCTAATTGTGAACAGGGAGCTTAACACGCGCCCTATTGCATTTTAATGCGACACTGTAGTGTGGACTACTACTAGTTCGCGATGAAAAGAGGAGAAGCACAAAGAAGCTTCTTCTTACCTTGGCAAAACGTCTTCGAAATAAGACCTCCGCCACTGTTCGATGCGCGTGAACGAGGGACTCGATTCCGTGATAGGAATCGAACGATTCTCTCTATGCGATCCGTGCTATTTTTCTTCTCCACCGCGTATATATACAGGTAAGAGATATATAGCGAAAATGAAATTCGAGGTGGAAATGCATGAATATTGGATGGAAGGGATGGTTTCTAAGAAACGGTTTCGGGCAAATGGAAGTGCAATCGGAAGTTTCGAGCTGGACAGAGGCCGCGATATTTCGGTGGGCAATTACTGCGAGCGGAAATGGAACGGTGAGTCCATCGCGCGCTACTCGGCCGGCCAGGCAAAATCGATGCCCGACAGGGTATTGGTAAATTTGATTTCTCTCCTCGATTTATTATAAAACTTGCGAATGATAATCGTTCACAGGGATAAATTGAACGCTTGGAATTACCCTCTTAAGGATCGTTCCTCCTCCTTGGTTGTTATCGTCGATCGAGCGAGGTGGACGCTTGTTGTCGAGTATAGATTATGCTTTTGGCATTTATTGTCTCCTGATCGATACAAT